TTTACACTTTATTACACAATTTCAGCGTCGTGCAATTTAAACAATACACTCTTCATCAAAATGGAAACCTCTTTTCTCCAGTTTTTAAGCCAAAAGAAGGGGTTTCTGTGGTTAATGTCACAAATAAAGTTCTTACTTGTTTAGAACATTATCAGTGAGGTATCACCAGCTGCAGGTCTGCTGTTCATTTATCACATATCATAGTGCCCGCACTATTATTCAGAGAAACTAGAGAAGTGTATTCCCATTCTGCAGAACTATACAGTGACACAATCAGAAACGATACTATCGTTATATCATGATGAGTGGAATGAATGAAGGCGAATTATTCTGAAGTGCAGGCATTTTTATGCAAATTATGCACATTTATCTATTTATGTATTTATGATAAGCCCCTTGAGATGGGTCGGCCTGTTTTCAGGGGTCCTATACATAATGCAAACAACCAAAGTGGCAACAAGCAAAACAAACAAATAGTTCAACATACAGGCAAAACAAAAACAGACTATACAAATATAGTACATAAAAATAAATACAACTGTTAAATGGCCACAAAGTAGCCAAGGACAGATGTCTCATAGATTATATAGATTATATACAACTAATCTGAAAAAGCAAATAAGTTTTGAGGGAAACATAATGCTGAGCACATTTTTCTAATGCCATAATGAGGAAATGCTGCAAGTTAATGTATCTGGCAAGTCGCAAAAATGTTGATACTTGAGGTATCAGCAAAATGTTCACTGAAAAAAAATAAAAAAATAAAAGGTACTTTGGCAATACAGTATCTAGTCGTATATTCGTAGTCGTCTACCGCATACTTGTGTTTATTACCTTCTTTCATCAAATGTAACCAAAATCAATCCTTCCCCAACGATAACCAAAGTTCTTTTGTTGCCTAAACCTAAGATACCAGTCTGGACACAAACACAAAAGTTCTGGTGTCAAGATCCTGCACTCTGTATGGCCGCCATCCTCCCCAAACACCTCCTTCCAAAGCCTACGTGGTACATGAATATCGTGTTTTGTTACCTGAAATAAAAAAATCTCTGAACATACTCCAGGGAGCAATTACATTGCCACAAAAACAAAATTAAGAAAGATAACTTCTAGGTTTGTTCATTTATGCCACTACAAATATGTACAATTAGTCTCAAAGTAAGCCATCGAAGCATTTTTTAACACACCAAATAATGTCAAAGATGGAATATTAGAGGATAAATGATTCCACTCAGAGGGAGCCCTAAACATAAAAGCCTGTTTTTCAATTGATTTTGTAGCTGTGGGAATATAGAAAAAGAAGAGTGGAGTGCCTAAGTTGATAATTTGAAGTATAGAGCACAAATAACTGTTGTAGGTAAATATACACTACAGGCCAAAAGTTTGGACACACCTTCTCATTCAATGCGTTTTCTTTATTTTCATGACTATTTACATTGTAGATTCTCACTGAAGGCATCAAAACTATGAATGAACACATGTGGAGTTATGTACTTAACAAAAAAAGGTGAAATAACTGAAAACATGTTTTATATTCTAGTTTCTTCAAAATAGCCACCCTTTGCTCTGATTACTGCTTTGCACACTCTTGGCATTCTCTCCATGAGCTTCAAGAGGTAGTCACCTGAAATGGTTTTCCAACAGTCTTGAAGGAGTTCCCAGAGGTGTTTAGCACTTGTTGGCCCCTTTGCCTTCACTCTGCGGTCCAGCTCACCCCAAACCATCTTGATTGGGTTCAGGTCCGGTGACTGTGGAGGCCAGGTCATCTGCCGCAGCACTCCATCACTCTCCTTCTTGGTCAAATAGCCCTTACACAGCCTGGAGGTGTGTTTGGGGTCATTGTCCTGTTGAAAAATAAATGATCGTCCAACTAAACGCAAACCGGATGGGATGGCATGTCGCTGCAGGATGCTGTGGTAGCCATGCTGGTTCAGTGTGCCTTCAATTTTGAATAAATCCCCAACAGTGTCACCAGCAAAACATCCCCACACCATCACACCTCCTCCTCCATGCTTCACAGTGGGAACCAGGCATGTGGAATCCATCCGTTCACCTTTTCTGCGTCTCACAAAGACACGGCGGTTGGAACCAAAGATCTCAAATTTGGACTCATCAGACCAAAGCACAGATTTCCACTGGTCTAATGTCCATTCCTTGTGTTTCTTGGCCCAAACAAATCTCTTCTGCTTCTTGCCTCTCCTTAGCAGTGGTTTCCTAGCAGCTATTTGACCATGAAGGCCTGATTGGCGCAGTCTCCTCTTAACAGTTGTTCTAGAGATGGGTCTGCTGCTAGAACTCTGTGTGGCATTCATCTGGTCTCTGATCTGAGCTGCTGTTAACTTGCGATTTCTGAGGCTGGTGACTCGGATGAACTTATCCTCAAAAGCAGAGGTGACTCTTGGTCTTCCTTTCCTGGGTCGGTCCTCATGAGTGCCAGTTTGGTTGTAGCGCTTGATGGTTTTTGCGACTCCACTTGGGGACACATTTAAAGTTTTTGCAATTTTCCGGACTGACTGACCTTCATTTCTTAAAGTAATGATGGCCACTCGTTTTTCTTTAGTTAGCTGATTGGTTCTTGCCATAATATGAATTTTAACAGTTGTCCAATAGGGCTGTCGGCTGTGTATTAACCTGACTTCTGCACAACACAACTGATGGTCCCAACCCCATTGATAAAGCAAGAAATTCCACTAATTAACCCTGATAAGGCACATCTGTGAAAAGGAAACCATTTCAGGTGACTACCTCTTGAAGCTCATGGAGAGAATGCCAAGAGTGTGCAAAGCAGTAATCAGAGCAAAGGGTGGCTATTTTGAAGAAACTAGAATATAAAACATGTTTTCAGTTATTTCACCTTTTTTTGTTAAGTACATAACTCCACATGTGTTCATTCATAGTTTTGATGCCTTCAGTGAGAATCTACAATGTAAATAGTCATGAAAATAAAGAAAACGCATTGAATGAGAAGGTGTGTCCAAACTTTTGGCCTGTACTGTATGTGAAGTTAAGCTTTAACATGTATTCTTTTCTCATTTTTAACACTGAGTCAATAATTGTTGGATACAATGAATTATGAGTTTATTATGAACATTGTTTCAGCACTGTATGAGGAGTTTTCACCATTATGTGTCTTCCACATGCTGGCAGCGCAAATGGATTTCAGAGGTTACGCTGGACTTTTTAACCCCTCGTATAAGAGCTACTAAATTCCCTCATCTTAAAGTCTCTTTGAAGTTGTACAAAATTTGTTGCTCTTTGTGATCACACCCAGTGATGTGCATGGCTCTTCTCAAAATAATTAGGCATACACCTAATAAGAAGTGGTTCACTGCCGCCGGGTTTGAGAAATAATACTTTCATCACAGATTCCAGAGATTTACCTCAATTTTTTGCGAGAATGAGCTGCCTACTGCTGCTACAAGATTTCTGTGGTATAGGTTTAGCAAAGTATACAAGATGCATTATCCTCACAAACTCTACATACTTCATTTCTGTACATACAAACTGGTATTTATAAAAGGAGAATGTGCACTGAGTGTGCACTACTTCAGACCAGACGTACACACGGTTTTCAAGAGGCAGCTGCAGATATAAAATATAAGATGAAAGACCTTGTAGTAAAATATTGTTTGTTTAGGTTGTTTGCCAGTTTCACCGACTGTCTTATTATTTACGCAGTACACAAAGCATTCTGTGCAATGTTGGAGGCACATTTATAAAGTAAATGTTAAATCTTTTTATGAGTGATCAATTTTATCATCCTTTTTATTATTTCTCTATCAGTACTTTAATTTTTTCCTGAATTGTGAAGTACTTGTTTATAAGGTCTGTTTTGATAAGAGCTCTACAAATGTATCATTTATCATCCTTTTGACATTTAACAATGATGAGATAATGTGCGATGATGGTTTACAGTTTTATGTAATTAACTTATGATATGGCTTCTGTAAATAGCCACAGCCGCGCGTAATGGCCATGCGTAATGACAGCTATTCTGGTGTTGTTGCAGAACTTCACTCATGTAACACAATCTGTGATATTGCACTGCTTCTTTGCCATTCTTGCCATTGACAGGTATAATGAGTGGTGGAGCGGGCACAAGTGTCATTAGGCGAATGGATGTTTAAGGGCGTTTCGACATCCATTTATGGCTAACCGTGGGAGCACAAATGAGGCTCATGCACGTGCGGCAAGTTCCACAATGACTGAGATTTATTAAATATGATCAGGTGTACCTGCAGCTTTATACATCCACACAAAGTTTTATATATCCTGTGGAGTATTCTCTTCCAGACAGAAATTAAACTCTTCTTTGAGGAAAACAATTAAATCAAGGGGCGAAAAAAATATTCCAATACATTATTCAAGTCATGATAGCTTGAAGGAGATGATCAGTAATCTATGACAAATTATACATTAGAAGTAAAATTCCCTTTCACTGAGCTTTGAAACCTCCAAGCTGTTCTGAGGGCAGAAGTGGAACTGCTTCTTTTCAGATGAGATGAGATTTGACACAGTGCGTCATTAAATACAAGTACAAAGCTTTTGCCTGTAGAAGAAGAGAAAAGGTTTCTACCTGACTTAGACGAGAGACAAATCTCTTGAGAAATTATCTGGGACTTCATCCATACTATTAAAAGCAGTACAGTGATTGCTGTCATCTTTGTCTGTTTTATAATGCAGGTTAACCCACATTTCTGACTTCATTAAGGTTAACAATTGGAGTTCACTTCAACACTCTGTAATTAAGAGTTGTCACTCTTAGTTAGAAATAACTGTACTTCCATTGTGTACTGTAATACTTTAACAACTTGTCACTTAACATGGCTTCTCCATCACAAGCATTCACCTGAATTACAGTTCCCTTGGTGTATACTTTATTGGAAACAGCATAAAGTGGGAGGATGAAATATTTACAAGAGCAAGAGCAAGTCTCTCTCCACGTTGCTTGTATCTTATTTCTCTATTTTCTTCTCTCTTTCCCTCTCTCTCTTAAACAGACCAGAAGTTTTCACCTTGGTCCCCGTCTCGAAAGTTCAATGAAGGCAGACGCCTCCCTCCAGCCAGGAACATGAAGGGCTTATCGGGCAGCCGTTCCCAGCACCAGATCCCTTTACCCTATGGCTTGGATTATGACCCCCACGTCCATGACCTCCACGCTCACCATGGCTCTGACTCCCGCCACTCGTCCTACCTGCTCAGCCCCACGGAGAGCTGCCCCATGGACTTCCACCACCGATACTCGCCGCGCAGCTCCATCCACTCTGACTGCATGATGATGTCCCCTGTCATGATGCCCCCAGCTGCTGCATCTGACCACATCTCCAGCAGCACCTTCCCCAGAATGCACTACAGCTCTCAGTATTATGACTCAGCCACACGGGACGACTGCGCTGCCATCACAGCCTCTGCCACCTCCCCAGCTGTTGCTGCTGCTGCGGCCGCGGCGGCCGCCTCCTCCCATCTCTCCGGCACCAAAAGCAACCGCCTTCCTGCTAACCTGCTAGACCAGTTTGAGAAACAACTGCCACTACACCGCGATGGCTTCCACACGTTACAGTACCAGCGCACCTCCACCACCACTGAGCAACGCAGCGAGAGTCCTGGCCGCATCAGACACCTTGTTCATTCTGTCCAGAAGCTCTTCACCAAGTCCCACTCCCTGGAGGGTTCATCCAAGATGAATGGCACAAAAGGTGATATTATGGGAGGTGGAGGAGGGAGTTATCACCATCATGGCCACCACTCCACCAAACACGGTAGCAAGAGGAGCAAGAGCAAGGAACGTAAGCACCGCTCAGGCGGCTGGTGGAGCTCCGATGACAACCTGGATAGTGACAGCACCTACCGCACACCCAGTGTCATGTCGCGGCACCATGGGGAACATGTCAGCCACTGCTACCCAGATTCCATGCACAGCCACCACTTTGGAGACCTGTCACTCAAGACCTCTAAGAGTAACAATGATGTCAAGTGCTCAGCCTGCGAGAGCATGGCTATGGCACCTGAGGGCAAATTCATGAAGAGGAGCTCCTGGTCGACACTGACAGTCAGCCAGGCTAAGGAGGCCTATAGGAAGTCATCGCTTAATCTAGAGAAACCCATGATGCACTCGGACCTCAAGTCTTCATCACGGACATGTCATTACCTACAGGTGAGTGGTGTTTTTCCTCATTTGTGTTTTGAATGGACATGTGTTCGATAACTGATAGCAATTTAAACAGTTTAAGAAATGAAAGATAGACTTTGGAACTTCGATTTTATATATTCCACTTACTATTTATACACACACACACTAATGGTGGTGCTATTTGCTCAAAAGTTAAAATATGTAGCTTTCATCCAAGCCGTTCGAAAGAATTCTCGTCACTGTTGAATAACTGTCTCTTTAGAAAGAGCTGACAAAAAAAGAGTGTTTCAAGTTTGAACTTCATTGGTACTGTAGGTTGAAAGGGCAGTAACTGCACAGAAACCCTGAACATCACCTATCTGAAAATATAACAAACAATAATTGAGATCAATATCCACTCATCCCCACCAAGGACCTTCTGAGTAAAATGAAGTGATTGATGTATTGATTAGAAATCCTGCCAGGGGAGGCCTTTCAAACTCCACCTTTCTTTCTGTTGCTCTCCCGAGGGCAATTACAGTGTCCAGTTTGAGAAACCAATATATTTAACCAGGATTCCCTTTTGTGTTGTCACCTCAGGGAGCTATTGTCTATTAAGATGTAGAGATCAATTGAGTGAATCAATGTCATGGTGGAAGACTCTGAAAATAAAAGGCGACCTGAGCTCGACTGCAAAGCAGAAAACACACAGATTAGGTCTGTTAACGAAAAATATAAACCACTCAGCTGGAGCTACTGTAGGAGGTTGCACACTAAAATGGAAATATTTGTATTATACACAGATTTTCAGGCCCCTGTCTTTGCTATCCCACTGACACATTAGGAGCATAAACTAGTTTAGCCACAGGTACTGGCTTCAAAAACACAGTCAAAAGCCAAGTGTTTGACGTTACATTTCATTTTTAATACTCAGCGCTAGCAAATGCTTTCATTCAGAGCTACTTGAAGTGAGTGCAGCATTAAAATACTGTAAGCTTGAATTCACAATTCAAATGGCTTCACATGATGGTGATTTAGGATCTATAAATAATGGCAGCATGGTGAGAGGGATTTCAGTGCCTTCTGTTATGTGAATGAAACTTAAAAAGAAGCATCATCGGGCCTTAATAACATATTTAGGGGTTAGCTGTGCTTTGGGATGTCTGCACCTTCCAAAAACACTCTTCTATTGGGAGAAGTTGGCCTGGACTCTCCTTTGAGCCCGTTATGAAATGGTCTATTGCTTGTAATCGGGCTGAGAAGAGCTGAAGTGATTGGCCATTATTAAAGCTTGCCCCAACTCCCCCTTGAAGATGATGTATGGCTTCTACTAACATTGCATTCATCCTGCTCTAGCCCTTTTCTGCTAGGATTGTACTTGTCCTCACACAATTGCTAAAAAATGCAAAAAAGATTATTGGCCACACTTGCATTTGGACCCAATTTCAGAAAACTTGACAACTGACTTATATGCACGCACTGTAATCGAATTTTACTGTCATTCCTTCTTTTACTAATGACAGTGAATGGTGCTGCTCTCACATAAAAGCTTCTAGATGCATTGCTGTCTATGCTTGGAGAGCGAAAAAGGAGGTTGAATCTTTGCCTAGTGCATGCACTTTGATGCTATGTGGAGTGCACGACTGCAACTGCAGTTGTTTGCGTGCCATGGGGACAGAAAGACTCTGTCAATACAGAGGCTCTCACAGTGGCATTTGACAAGCTTATGTGTCAGCAGGCAGAGACCCTGCAGCTGTCACATGGGCACATTCTGCACTGAGCGTGTCCACACTGAGAGCCTTATTCAGTGGAATACGTGAGGGGAGATCTGTACACAGGCGTCGTGGTCAACGCTCTGTGTGCTCATCGGATTTTTATCTGTTTGATGTGTCTGGGTCCTTTAGGTCTGTGTTCACTTGTGATGAGGAGGACAGGTCTGCGTTGTGCAAGTTGTTGACATAATCTTGATTCGGCGGGTGTCAAGTCTTCAGGCTGTAGCCTCTTAAGACAAAAGCCACTTTTGTAGGGTGAAGCTGAAGCTGAAGCTCAAACAAAATGCCTATTAAAAACTAAACATGATTGTGAAAATCTTAAATATTGTCATGAAGTAAAGCATCAGCAGGCAGACACAGATTAAGTGCAGGAAACTAAATATTCACAGCTATAAAGCATAACATATAAGCTCTAAAAGAGGCTCAGTGCAGAGATAATGTGCAGTGTGACAATCTTCCATAGTGATTTTACAAATTACTATTGGAACATATTTTTAAACTGACGATTGACTTAATACGTACACTGAATAAATGAATGGAATTGCTATCAATCACTTCAAGTCTAAAAAGCCAAAAATAAAAGAGCATTTTTCTTTCTACTTTTGCATTTGTTTTGCTGTCTTTCAATTATTTTTCAACATTTACAAGAGTGAATTTTACTAATTATGAGATGTCTGCAATCCCTATCCCGGCTGGGTCTCCTGTGTAAGTGAAATAGTGTAAATAAATAATGGCTTGGCCCAGTCCCAGGATTTTGAAGCATGTTTTGAAGGTGAGAAATGGTATTAAGTGTGCAAGTAAAGGCTACGTGTACAAGGTTTCTGCAGTATATCATCTAGCTTCAATCAATCATACATACTTGCCCTTCCTTGTCTGAAACAGAGCCAGTGCAGTATTTTCCCGTTGGTGTAATAATGAAATCTCACAGGGGATGGCAGGGGCTTTGAAAAGATTATCTAGGGGGAGAACCTTTGTCTTCTCTTGATATCTCTTTTAGAGTATGTAACATTTCTACACGTTGAGCTGGTGTCCTCCCTTTGATATACAGTGACCATTACAACAAATTGTGTCTCTTGGGGCACCCTGCAATTAGAGAGTGTGTTACTGTGTTCCCAAATAAACCGACAGAACATTTACCTATAAATACATGCCAAAGATAAAATAATAATATGAACTCTCGTCAAAGGAGGCTTATAGTAACACCCTGCACTTGCTTCCTGCAGTCACAAGTAGGTGACTAAGCTTTCAAACCCTACTTCAGACGTAAGTAGACTGCATTCAGTGTCGCAAATCACACAGAGTATCTTATCACTTCAACAACCAACAACTAACCAGCAAAAATTGCTCTGCCCGTTCTTGGAGTCAGTGTTTTTTGTGCTTTTGATGGTCTATCCCAAGGTTATCTTTGTACAAAGTATTCTCAGTGTTTAGGACTAACTAACGACGGTGTAAAGCTGATCGCTGTGTAGCTGCCTCAGAGGCACAGCTGAACATGTTCCTTCAGGTGTAGCATTAAATGAGCACAGAAACAAAGTAATGCTAATGAGTTTGCGCGATGCTTCCATGAGTGATGGCTGCCTTGTTAACTATAGCCCCAGACGATCAATGGTCGTGCATTAGGAAGAAAATGATTCTTTAGCTTCATTGCTGTCTTTAAGCCTGATTAATTTAGTTTGCAGACAATTGCTGCATTTTATTCCATTCATGTGGGAGAGGATAAATGTATGCATAGCTGATTAGTGAGCGTGATAGTTTTACTGATAGGTCTTTGAGGGAAGACAGAAGCAGGTCGGCTAATTTTCATGTTACCTGCCCAAGTTAGGCAGGGATGGAAAGTGCAACGTTTTGTTCTTTAAGCTGATGACATACAAAGATGACGCCTAACATCACAACATTAGCAAACTCAATGACCATGATTCATTTCCCTACTTTGCTCATACTGGCAGCATTGCAGTGAGCCATGCTGCCCAAAAGAAGTTCATTCGTTTGGGATTCAAAGGAGAGTTCTAGTAGCATATGGTCTAAATGCTTCAGAGCCCTTTTCATCTTGACTACAAAAACATTTGGGAAAAACATCTAAGTAAAATATACTAGATTAATGATGGTGGAAAGCAATTGGCGCTATTATTAGCATCTCTAAATCTCTCTACATTTCCCCCCATGCCACCGTTCACAGAGAGGAAAATGTTCATCATTTTTATGTTGAGTGCCTTATGCTGTCAAGTTTTCACCTGTCTGCCCTGCTGAAACGGGCCGTCAAGTCAGAGAGGACACTGGGTGTTGAAGGAAAGATTGAGAGGGGGAGAGACGGCCGGCAGGAGCAGCAGATAGTGAGAACAGATGTGATAAAGAAAGCATAGCTCTTCCTCAAGGTGGATGAAAAAAGGGGGTTTATCAGCCACTCGGCTTTCTGTGAGAACAGCTCAGCGACTGTGGCAGAGAAACAGCAAAGCTATATGATTGGCTAAAGTGAGTAACTGGCAGAGCATTAAGGACAACCCTGTGCCTCGGGCTGTTGTTTCAAGAGCTAAGGCGGCTCTGTCCACTGGGACAACTGCTACAGCTGCACCGCACACTGACACAGTGTTGTACTTAGTGCACAACTGATCAATATTGTGCCAGAGCATGTAGCGTCTGACACATTGCCATCGTATATCACCATCTTCAGGACCACAAAACCTCATTGTGTCTGAGAGGAGCAGCGATTTAGATTGCATAAATAATGTGACTTGTCAATCACAATTCAATCTCCATACCAATCAGGCGACCTAAAGTGTAAGCAGGATATTCAATATGAAAATCAGGAACATTGAGGGTAATTCCTTTTCAAGAGGTCTACCTTTATTTCTGTCGCATCAACATCTAATTAAAACCCACTGGCTTGCAGTACAGGAGCACTTGGTTATGTGTAGACGTTTATAGCAGAACACCACACAGTGTGCAGTAATTAGCACACAATCGCTTAATCACCATGTTAATCATGAGATGCTGTAATGTTAAGAACAGTCACTGTTTACAATTATTAGAATACAAATACAAAAGGCTATTTATGCTACATGATGTCATGGCTGTGATTATTTCAATGTTGATGAATGATAAGGTAGATGGTAGATAATGTATGTCAAAACTATATGCTGTGCTCCTTTGGCTGTCAGTCAGAGCTAATTTTAGAGCTCATACGTTTTTTTGTATTAGCAGTGATGCTGTGCCATTAATGACAGTGTGCCGATTTAAAAGTTACAGCCCGAGCCTCAGGGGTATGATTGGCAGCCTTAGCTGTGCAAGCATAAAAATACACAAACTGCATCACCGCCAAGAGTGTGAGGGAAATTCTATTAGTGCTTTCCTACAAATCCTTGAATTAAGTATGCCCATGTTTTGATTGGCAATGTGAGTGCTATTCTCAAAGGTTGTTTCTACCCTTTTCATTCAGCTGGTTTGATGATCCTGCAGATGTAAAGCAGTATTTGAGCTCCTTCCAGAAATGTGCTGATGAATCTCACATGGTGCTTCAGATTAATTTTCTTCCAAACCACAAACATAGACTCTATTAAAATAAATGAATGGAAGGATGTTATCAAAGTCATATAGCTGTGAAATGCTGACATACTGCTAACATACTGACACACCGCTGGAAAACTTGATATTGATTAGAATGTATCAAAAGTTCTATGTAGAAAAAAGCAATTTTTCAGACCACTAAACTGGATGCCTTTACATTAAACAAACCTGTCAAAGTTTAGATCCTGCGCTCTTCTTTGACAACCAAGGTGTTTGGATTGTACAAAGAAACCTGAACGTCTGAGGGGAAGCCATGCAAACACAGCATGCACCTTGCTGTTAAGGTCCTGCTCCAAACCCACAGCTGCACTATCCATGTACCCTTGTATATTAAACCCACAGTGCTGTACATGGCCAATTCCCTCACAGGATGCAGCGCCCCTTGTTATTACCACCCACTAGTCAAGAGAATAGAGATGGGAAAGAGCCTTCACTTACACTCCCCCACACACTTCCAGCCAGCATCAGGCTAATAAACAGTGGTTACCCAGTTTTTGTGTTTATTTCAGACAAACCGCTGTTGCTGTTGTCGGTAGTGTAAAACCCATGACTCCTGTGCGTTAAAGGATTTTACTGAGAAAATCCTAGCTGACAAAGGTGTTGAAAACAGCGAATGGTAAAGCTAGTTTGAATCACTGTCACGTGACAATACTGCATAATGTAACTTTAATGTTATCCAGTGATTCTACTACTCTCTCTCCCCCTTAAGAGGCTTTACATTTGTTCCAGTATGCATTGAATTTGATATGGACATTGGACATTCAGAATTTGGCCAGCTGAATAAGATGACAAAATGCAAATGTACAATGTAGCAAATAGGCCGCAATTTAAGATGGCATAAAGACAGACTGCGTCTGAATGTCTCAGCACCATGGAGAGAAACAAAGCATGTGTTTAGATTCTTCAGGACCATGGACAGAGCACACTGAAATAACTTTGTCAGGGCCAAATACATAGGAAATGTGTCTGTCTGAATGAAACTAAGAGAAACAATACTTATCTAAAAATATGGATTTTTCATTTTCAAAAAATGTATAACACATGAAAACATAATTTTAAGTAAAAAAAATAGTCGTAATTTTTTAAAAAAAAATTATAAAATTTATTAAACAATAAGTTTAATGTTATCACTGATAATTAAACTGAAATGTGTTTCATTACCACATTACTGGAAAAAGCAATATAAATACAATATAAATTCTGAGCTGATACTGATACCAATATTTGAAATAACGATGGCTGATACTGATGTGGTTTTATTTTGTTTATTTTGTATTTGTTGGTATTTATTGCCCCTTTTTGTGCCAAGGAAACAAAGATGTCTTTATAATAAAAAATAACTGTTTCAAAGTAATTAAGCCCTTCATCACACTACCTTTGAATGAGCACAGATTTAATCATGCACATTTATGAAACAACCTTTTAAAAACTACTTTTACAGGAAAAACTTTTTTGACAACTGCTTCAACACTGTTTTTACTATGTATACTGTATCATTATTCCCTCTCCAATATTGATTTATATTGCCATATTTGACAAAAATTGAAAACATCATGAATGTCATATTTGACCTTCGCCTGATACTTTAAGCAATAGAGCTTAAACGCATCATAACTGCAACCTCCATCAGCAGTTTGTCGCTAACAGCTAACGTTAAGTAGTTCTCCTGCCGATGTCAATTAGAGCTTAGATTCTCTGCCAGAGGCCCAGGCCGGGCCCGGTCAGATATGAGAGAGAGAGAGAGAGAGAGAGAGAGAGAGAGAGAGAGAGAGAGAGAGAGAGAGAGAGAGTCAGATATGAGAGAGAGAGAGAGAAATGGCTACAGGTTGGGGGTTGCAATTCACACATACAGAAAGAGAGAGAGAGAGGGGGGTGGTAGAGATAAGTGGGAGGGACAGCGACTTTCCGTGCCTCCAAAAAATATGCCCTATTCATTCAGTGTTTACCCAACACGCTCAATTTATGGACATGCAATGACAAATTGTCATTAACTTATTACGTTATAAAAAACTATTAAAATATGGACTTACCCATGTTTAAAATGACCTGTTAAAGTGAAAAAACGAGTACTGATGGGAATAGACGAGTGGAGTCGATGTTTAACCGGCGTGGAGAGCGCAGGAGAAATGCGCTGCTTGTGTGGACAGTCAAGCGCCTGCGAGTACACTCGCAGGACTTCCATGGCACTAACGTGCTCGGTGTGTCCTTAGCGTTAATTATAACAGCCAACTTATTGAAAAATGTCGGGTTTAAATCGGGCTCGGGCCCATAATTACAGTTAATTGTACGGGCCGGGCCGGTCCCGGACATAACGTGCACGGGCTCGGGCCGGGTCGGGCTGAATTAGGTATGTCCTGACACCTCAATAGTGAGTTTTCGGCACCTTTTTGTATAGAGGGCGTCCCGTGGAAGATGTCTGTTTGTCCCAAACATGTTTTTTAATCGTGTCCGACAGCAGAGCAGTATTACATTACAGTATTACATCAGTATGCGTTGTGACACAACAGACTGATGTGACACAACAGAAATATATTGGCCCCTGCCATCGGTGAATGTCATCGCATTTGCCAATAGGCCGATGGCAGTCAACAAGGCGAATATCGGCCAGTACCAATGTTCGGCCGATTGACTGATTGAATTAATACAGTAAAATGTTACGTTGTATTGCTTTACTTCAAACACTTGCATCGCACAAGTTGAGGCTCTTGCGGACATAAGCTACTTACTCCCATTGCAATGTCGGAAACCATCGGCTATCGGTCTGTCAACGATTTAGCCTCTGGGGACAACAGCCAATATTTCTGGGATTCCTGTGTAGCCAGCCGATATCTGAATAACAGTTATCTAAGCCAAGATTACTTCTTTGTGTGTCTGTCATTCTTTACAGTCCGATTTACAATCCCAGAACCCACTGGCTATCGGTCTGATGGTGATTTAGCTCATCAACAAATATTTGCATATGAATGCAGATAACCAAAAAAAGCCAATAAAGTTCCATAGATGCTTTGGTATAAGCCATGTCACCAAAAGCAAGATATGTTTTTCATAAAAATGATACAAAGTGCCTGTTCATGGTTGCAGTTGCAGAATTTAGCTCAGAGAAACCCACTGTATGAGTCTCATGGGTGGAGTAAGGTTAACCGTTGAGCTTGTTTAAATTGGGATCCCTGGCCCAGGGGGATGAAATAGAGGTGGAGCTTGAAACCGAGGATGTGAATCAGCTTAATTTACTGTTTAGGGAAAAACCAGCCAAAGCTTATCCCTCTACTTGTCTGATACAGTTCTCACACTCATTTGGCTAATTGGGCCCCATTGTACTTGCAAATAATATCTCTGATGTAGTTCACTGTACAAGCCTGACATTTTGTCTACGAGCAGGACAACCCACTGTAAGATCTGTACTCCATCAGGGTTTAACAAGTCACCACAGATACTGGCTCAAATAAACAAGTAATACCACCTTATGGTTATGAATGTGAAGTATTTAAAAGCTGTGTTGTCTTCCACAGGTTCCCCAGGATGAGTGGGGTGGATACCCTGGAGAGAAGGATGATGAGATCCCGTGTCGGCGGATGCGCAGCAGTAGCTATGTCAAAGCTATGGGAGAGGTGGATGATGAAAGTGGTGACTCTGACACCAGCCCTAAGACCTCCCCACAGAAGGCCATTCGGCCTGATGCTCTCGTCCTCAAATCAGCCATGCAGAGACCCCATTTAGACTCCCAAAGGTAGGCCTGGCTGCCTCGCTTATTATGTCTATAACAAAGCTATGTGTTGATTTCATTTTACCTCCTTTTTATTAAACCTTGAAAGCATTAATTGATGTTCAGGCGGTATGTTGAAAATACAGCAAAAGGACTGAATTTCCTTGTAGTTTTATAAATTTACCTTATGGAATGGTCATTCTTTAAAATACATTATTACTAAAACCGATGGCTCAGTAATTGGTGGTTGCTTTAGGGTCAACAAAATGACAAGCTTCTATCTTGAATAATAAATTTTCATATGCAAGGACTTAGATGTTGTTGCAGTGTGTGTCTTGAGTGAGTCTGCGGAGTCAGGTATCGGACTGTTGGCTCCAGTGACTGACAAAGATGGTGGTAAATTGTACATAGACTGCACCATGAGACCAGTACAAATGGTTAGGGTTAAGCTTGTGAGAAATATCAATATTTTCCGAGCCTTTGATCAGCACCCTTAATAAGACTGGGCAATGATCAATGAGTGAATGTCAGTACTGCAATGAGACCTTTCTTTCAGCACCGTATGCAAACTACTCCACGCACTTCTGTAGCTGTAGTATGTTAAGGAATAAGTTAATAATGTTCAGGGAACAACCGGACTTTGAGAGAAATAGAGTTTCATGCACAACTGACTTGCACTTCAACTCCTGACTACACACTGCTGTTGTGTCTTTAAAACAAAAATTCTGTGGTAAAAATATATTCATTTTTTTAAGTTGGGGTTCAAAGGGAGAACATTCAAATAGGTTTGTCGAAATTCTAGAACTAACCTTCAATTATTGTTTTCTTTACAACCTACTTGAAATTTTAATCCACAGCCTCAGCCTTTTTGTTTCTATAAATCTGAACAATCTCGCACTGACTCACTACTTTGTTGACATGCTGTCCGAGTAAAACAGTTGTTTGCTGATGCTGTTCAGCTGTCACTGAGAGATCTGAAGAGGTTTTACATTAGTTGGTGATTCCAAGTGAAGTTGCTTGGCAACAAAATGAGAGGCCGAGTTCTGGTTACCCTTTTCTTACATTATTTTATGCATGCCTGGACGACTGTGTTAAGCTGCTATTTAGAGCTGGGGTGTACTTACTTGTTAGCTTGTTTTATAACCACATCATTAAGTTGCTCTTGAGCATTGTTGTTAAGTATTCAATCAACAACTGTTTCATGTGATCAGGTAAAGTAGTGCTCTGCTGAACGCTGCAGTACCAAATGGGTTTTGTGTTTATGACCTTTTTCATCTGCTAGTTACAATATTTGCCCAATATCTTACACAGGCAATGTTCCTCATCTTATCGCAGTGTTGTTGACGAGCCTGTAGCAAAACCGTCACCTTAATACAACGTCAGACTCAAGAGAGCAGGCTTAAATGTGCTTGGCTTAGTGGATGGATCGTTGTCACATGGAAGGGCCTACATTTAAGTTACTGACTATTGTGTTGAGGTACACCAATCAGCCAAAACATTAAAACCACTGATGGGTAAAGTGAATAATATTGATGATTTCATTACAATACAATGTTCTGCTGGGAAACCTTTGGTCCTGGCATTCATGTGGATGCCCCTTTATGCACTCCCTCCACCTTAACATTGTTACAGACCAAGTACCCCTGCTCATTGCAACAGTGCCCCAGTTGACAGTAGCCCCTCAGCAAGGCAATGCACCATGCCACACCGCCAACACTGCTCAGGAATTGCCTAAGGTATGTGACAAAGAGCTCAAGACATCAACCTTGCTTTCACATTCCCCAGATCCCAATCTGATAGAGCATCTGTGGCACCAACCAGTACCCCAGAGGTCCTTTGTCCAGGCCTTGACAGGCCAGAACCAAGTCCGATCTACGGTTGGGCCTCTGACCTGTCGAGGCATGGACACAAGGGGGTGTCCTGTGTTGTCTGGCACCAAGGTGTTGTCGACAGACCCTTTAAATCCTTTGCGTTGCGATCTAGGGATTTTGGAGGCCAGGTCGACGCCCTGAGCTCTTAGTCATGTCCCCCGAGCGTCTCCTGAGCAGTTTTTGTGGTGTAGCATGGTGTACTGTCCTACCTGGGGAGGTGCACTGCCATCAGGGAGTGCTGTTGCCGTGAGGGGGTGTATTGGTCTGTAATGGTGTTTGGGTTGATGGTGCGTGTCAAAGTGGCATCTACATGAATGGCAGGAGCCAAGGTTCCACAAAAGAGCATTGCACTGTAACAAAACAATCAATGTTATTCACTTCACCTGTCAGTGGTTTTAATGTTTTGGCTGATCGGTGTATACTGTATGATAAGAATCTTGAGGAAGAAGAGTTGTGTCTGTTCAGTGATACAGTGAGGTGTTCAGTATATTTTGTATTCACGGAAATACATATATATATTTTTTCTTTTCACAATCATGGAAAAATGTAGTTGTAGTGGTACATCCAGCTATAAATGTTCAGTTTTTGTTGGAATCGTTCAGAGGTGTTTATTCAACTTTATGTTAATTTTGGAGGCTTTAGTTTGTGGCTCTGTCAATGTGTGTTAACTGCACTGTGTTGAACTAAGAGGTGTTTGTGGTATTTACTGGACACACACTGATATAAATGAGGCGGAAAGTATTTATCAATAATCATAATATAATGTGTTGCAAATGTCTCTGCACTGGTCAAGCAGTGGTGCACTACCTTGGCTGAAAAGCAATGCCCTCTCTGGCTGACAGTTTCACGTGTTTCACCCCTGACTGGGAGTTCACCCTTACTTCACTGCAGCAAGGTGAAAAGTTAAACCGCTGGAGGTTAGTCAAGGTTTTCAGGGGGTGTTAAGTTACTCTTTAATCATCTTCTAATCATCTCTCTGGTGACATGTATCTGTTGCCATGTAAACCAGCACAAACCACCTAATATTCCATTAAGCATATTTGTACCCAAGGGACGCTATTGCTTCACCTTCACATTCCCACCAAGCTTATTGTTGCTCAGCTTGTTTTTATTCAGCCTATGGTTCTCTGTAACTGTTTTTTTCCGGACCATGTGGCTTTCAGATATAGCCAAATTCTGTGAACCTGGGGAGCCGTCATGCATTCGTCATCCCTACTTCCACTCAGTGCTCTGTGCTATTTTTGTTACCATCATCTCAGTGGGGTGCTGATCACTTGGGCTGCTGTCCACAAACAAATCAGCCCTGTTTTTTAGCCTCTGGTTGAGAATGTAATGATATCTTATCATTGCCGCTCCTAGCTCTCATTGTTTCTCTAATAAGAACCAGAGACAAGCCGTACACTTGCTTTCTATAGTTTTAGGATGGAAGACTCTTTTGTCATAAAATACTACAGCAACAAGAAGCAGCCCACAGATGCTAACCAGTAGATCTGTTGAGAACAATATGATCCAGTGATGTTCCATGTGTGGCTTTTGAACTGTGCAATCGTTATCTATCCCTACCCCCTGTCCTTGTTCAGCCAGGGCTACCACTTGCAAACCACAAGAGATATGCGACCCCACCCTAGTGTCACACTGGACCCTGCCACCTTTCACCCCCCGCCCTTCCGCTCTCGCAACCAGAGCTACATGCGCGCCGTCAGCACCCTCAGTCAGGCTAGCTGCGTCAGCCAGGTGAGTCTTAAACACATGCATCACACAGAGGCAACACCTGGAGACATTTATGAGAGCCTATGTCATGTCATTTTGTATGTAGGAACTTTGTGTAGAGGGCATTACAAAGACATAAAAAAAATCCACAGGTGTTCATAGTGGAGGTCCACAGCTGATTGTAGATTCAGATTGTAGTAGACATAGCCATGGGTGTCTCAACTGAAGTCAATAGACACGACTAATCTGTGCTGTTTTGGACTGAGAATTGATGATTAAACTGACAGTCTACAGCTCCAGACATAATCTAATGTGGTTTAAAGTTTTTTAAGAGATTCATGGTATAAAAAAATTGTATGTAATTGAGTAACTAGGATATCAGTTTCACATCAATCAGTCTGCAATCTGATTTGGCCGAAGGATATCTGGAATAGACCACTTAAAAACAATTCATCAATCTCCTGCTGTTGTGGCATGCCAGCTAATTAGCTAGCTAACAAAGCAGCAGTTTGTTTTGATTAACTGATCTTTTTTTGTTTGTTTGTTTTTTGCTAACTACTACTAATGATTAGTATTACAGAAACAGTAACATAATGTCTAACCTCACACACCAACCTTTTCAGCTATCTATCTTTGTCATATCCTGCTATTAATCTGTACAGTTAGATTAATTTTGCAAGTCTGTTTTGGACCTCCATGGTGGCACAAGACAAGGTTGATGTGAAGACTTGTGACACAGCAAGAAACCATCCAAGAGGAGGAGAGATTTAGAAAGGTTGCACAGTTAGCTTACTCCTGCTGGTGCTAACACAGTTAAATGATAGTAGAAAAAGGTCTTAAATAATAGTGAAACCTAGTAATATGAAACAGCATGATGATGTAGACAGAGAACAGAAGAAGACATGACAGGGTAGAACATGAATTCATCTTGTATCAGCTAGAACAACTTAAGAGTATTTGTAAGAGACTTGTTAAAGCTTCAAGACAAAGAATTGAGACTGCAGTGTTTTACATGTAGTGACATACAGTATACTGTAGAGTACATCTTAGTTTGGGGATGTGTGGTGAATGGAATGTTTTATGACCCAAACTGAATATTTTTCTGATTGTTTTCTGTTGTCATCTGCCTTTTTTTCATTTGATCTTGACATTTATTCAGTTTAAGGTCGGAATGACAGTGGCATTTCCTTACGCTAACACTCCTTCATATTTGCTGTGCAAAGGGGAAGAATCAAAGTGAGAAAGAGAAAGGAAGAGGAAAAATTAAGGACTGCTATTCCTGTTTTTGTCTCTCAGGTGAGTGAGACTGAGATCAATGGCCAGTTTGAGTCAGTTTGCGAGTCCGTTTTTAGTGAAGTAGAATCCCAGGCCATGGAAGCCTTGGACCTGCCTGGTTCGTTCCGCACTCGAAGCCACAGTTACCTCCGTGCAATTCAGGCTGGTTATTCCCAAGATGACGACTGCTTGCCTTCAATGACATCCTCCACTGTCACTTCAACTCTCAGATCCACAACAGGTAAAACAATCCCCCCCCTAAATAAGAGAGGGCTTAGACTACATACCCTCATACATCCTATACATGCGCACAAACTTGACATACCTACATATGTACAGTGGGGAACCCTTGAGCTTCAGAGATGCCGGGCTGAATGATCCCAGTTATTTTTTTTTTGGAAGCTATGGTGTGCGTGTGTTTGTTTTTGCCTCTGCATACTCCCGATTGTTTAGATGGATCTGCTTGTGTGTTACTTTGCACGATTCATGCATCATTAGACAAGCTTCTAGTTGGTCACTTGTGGTGTTGCCAAGCTGTAGACTAGGATAAGGTCTGGGGGGTCGCATCAACACTGAGATGGCAACACACGCTCACGGTACACAATATTTACAACACAGCACAGCCACATTACATGGCATGCCTATGAGGAACAGGCCCTACCCTAAGCATGTTAAACTGTGGTGTTATATATGTGTTGTGCAAAGCCTGTGAGTTACTTAGGGAGGGATGAAGACAAAAACGGGCCAGGGGGTAGGGGAGCGGTAGGTTGTTGACTTATTTGTGTTGAGAGGATACAACGGACGAGCCTTCCGCCTGTCTTCCCCCTGCTCTGTTGCACCAACACATTAGCAATACGCTTTGTAACTGACCTGGTCACAGACCTCATAAAATTACAAACAAAAAACAATCTTGTAACCAATTTAAGGTAAGTCAACAACCTCTAGAGACTAGAACACGTGCACTCACACGTGCTGGTTGCACAAAGGAACTGTTCAGTGATGGTATATATGAGTTTGAGAAATACAACTTTCGACTATTTGCAGTATTGTTGTATTGTGTTGCATTAAACTCAAGCTTTTGAGCATTGATCTCAGTCAAAATAACTAATGAATTGTATGTATAGTTTATTACAGGAACTCCTAAAGCTTCTGAATCACTGTTGTCTTCAACTGCGAGTTGCCAATTTAGCAAACTTCGCTTACATTGGTCAGAGTTTTTTTTACGCTACAATTAAAATATGACAGTGGACCCAGACGCAACATGTTCTGAAAACAGCACATTTTGTCTATGGTCACAAATATTTATTTGTCCTACATGCTGCATTTTTAATACAAAACGCAAAGATTTCAAGGTTTTGTGCGACACGGTGCGAGCAATATAAAATTAAGCATTTCAGGTTCTTTGTGCAAGCAGAGTCTTTGCAGTAACTCCCTCACTAAGTGCATTTGGTGTTTACCTGCAAGAGTAAAGCTATGAACCCTATTGAAACATTTTTCTTTAATTGCGTGCATTTTTAAATATTATGACCTGGATTTTCATTGTTTTTGTACACTTTTCTGTCAATTTAATATTGGAGACATTTGCACTTTTTCTCATTTTGTGGGTTTTGTTTTCTTGTGCAATCTGGACTTTTGTTTTTGGAATCCTTTCATCTTCAATTGGGTTTCCATCTACGATTTCTTCGATGTGACAGAAGTACTGAGGATAAAGGAGTGTTCTCCAATCCCACTGTCTTATTTGCTGAACTCTATTCATTTAACTCTCTGCTCCAAATCTGTCAGCTCTATATGGACTAAAACAAGCAGTTGACTGTACAATATGTTATGAAGATGTATTTTGAAGATTGGCATTATGCATCAATTACAATGTCAGATAAGGTTATAGCAACCCAGAGAAGGGTTCCCTGGATGGTGATTAATTTTATACAGTACTGTCACCTCCCAGTCAAGCCATACTGTAAGTTATATTTCTCCTTTGGTGTACTCTTTGCACTGTTCTGAGGGAATAGTGGCCTTGAAATTGAATAAAGTAACTTATCTAGGCTACCTTGGCTAAGAAAAACATTGATTCCTGGAATCATGTTTTTATGTTAGTATTCAGTACTAGTTTATATTTGAATTGTAAGCGGCTTATGAACCAAACCCCATGTGAGGCTAGTGGGCCCTTGAGTGGGGAAGGGATCCCATGATGCTCCGTAGGGCAGACGAGCAGCAAACCCCTCTCCATTTGACCATCCATCTCTTGAAGGATAACCAGGGGGAATGAACAACTGGAGGCATCAGTGATGATTGTTGCAGGTATTTTAATGTTGACACGCATACATATATCTATGTATATGTGTGTTTTTGCACTGCCTTCTCAGTAAAAACAATAGATACATAGAGTTTATATATCCATAGATGTATAGCTGGTAGAAATATCTCATTATGTTATCCTAAGTAGCAAACACGGTTCCAAACAACTCACAAAACCTCAGACACTTTGATTTCTTCTTAAAACCTTGACACCTCAGAATATTGATTAAAGTGATGAATGTGATGCTGGCTTTTGTGAGTTGTTTACCATGTCTCTATTTTAAGTGTGTTTAGACCACATTGTAAGTGTAAATGTATAAGAGATGTACTTCCCAAACTTTTCGGAATGTTTTCATATGGCAACCATAAAATAGCACTGAATGTGATCGCATTGCCACTGTCTCCAATTACTTGTGAGAGCAGCATCTGTTTTTCTTTTCATGAAAATCTGACTTCTTTTAAAAAGGCCACATGTGGCAGTCTAACCCTTGGCATTGAGTCTGTCAGCTGTCTTTGACTGTGGGATTGCAGCCTCTCCCTGGTGCAGCCCCGAAGGGGGGAGTGACCCCTCCCCTCACCGGGTTACTTACTCCACATGGTCTAATCAGCCACTTTGGACCTGATATGTTCAATAGGGTTCATATCTGCTTCTTGACCCAGTGGGTTGTGATTCTGCTACCCCCCTTTACATCTTTTCTTTTGCACAAAATGGCACAAAAATAAACATTTTGATATGTTTTGAGAAAAGGGTTCTCAGAAAATGGATTCATGATCTGATAATGATTGATGTATTTCATGTTTAATTCCACTCTTTGCTGTGCTGTGCAGTGAAAAGATGGAAAGAAGCCTTGAGATGACTGAGAAGGCAGTGTAAAAACATTGTGAAAAGCCTACAGTATGTGAGTTTAATGACAACCATTATTGTCTTTCAAAAAAGGTGCTGTATATTCGATATTGGCTCTGGCAGGAGGGAGCTCTATTATTTAGCTGATCCATTTTGGATTCTCCATAAAGTGCTACACTTGAACACCACAGAAAGTTCATCCAAAATTTGAACGATGATAAGCAACTTTCAGAAACATGTCATGAATTCCACCAACAATATACTTCAATAGTGCTAAAAAAAATGGACAGTGAGTTTCTTCACACTTGTAATTTTGTGATTTTATGACACTACTCAGTTACCTCTTGGTTTTTTACAACTCTGGTTCAACTCTGTTAGTCGCATTTGAATAGCACACAAGTCAATGGTGGATGTTCATCCCTGATAAAACACTTGAATCTTTCGAACTAAACGGGAAATTGGGTTTGCACTGGGTTTGATCTTGTGTGTCTTTGGAGTTACCTGCCACTCACATACTGTATGTTTTCCATAGATATGTGTTTGTTTTCTAGTAAAGAAGCCAAATCAAATCACACTCCAGCTGTTCCTTTCACTTTGAATGTCCTTCTGTTTGCATATTCAAATTTTTCTTCCAGAGGGATATGATGTTGTGGATGGGACCTCTTTACTATGTGAAGACATGATAGAGGATGATGACGGTGCTAGCTCCTCTGCGTATGTGGAGCTGGAGAGGCTGGAGAGAGAGACTGCTGCTGCTCGCAGCCAGCACAGTACTAGCTCCACTGTAACAGCCATCTCTGTCCCACCGGCATCCCCGCCTTCATACAGGGTCCCCTCTGCCTCACCTGTAGCCTCAGAGCCACCGGTCCCTCAGGCCATTCAGGCCTTTAAAGAATCTGCTAACATGGTTGCTGCCTTCAACATGCAGTGGAAGGATGAAATCTCAGCAATGCGCTATGAACTGGCAGAGCTGCGTAGAGATGTCTGTGGGGAATTGAAGACTTTCAACAGTAACTTCTTCAACTTTACTCAGTGCTACAACATGTGGACTTTGTGCCGGGAGCCTTGCAGCGACAGCACCACACAAACAGACGACAGAGTGTCCATAGGAATCCAAGCAGGCTCAAGTTGGTCCATCCGACAAAATACAGAGGACAAGTCAGTGATGTGCCAACCAGAGCCAGCACCCTTCAGCATTATGGATTTGATGGACCCACCCCGGATTGAGATTATAGAGGGAACCCCTGAGAGCACGCCAGAGGGGTCAGGCAGTCCTGCCAGCCCACTTCCAATAGAGGATTTCCCATGGGAGATCAACAAAAAGCAAAAGCCCCAAAAGCAGCCAGACACAGTTGGCCACACAGGTGGTCACAGAAGTGCTAGTCTAGAACTGTGGAGCAGGAAGTACACCAGTGGGCCCATGTCATATCTGTCTATGTCATTCTAATCATTCCCATTCTGCGCATTCTGTAAAATCAGATGAGAAAGCCAGGGCAAAAACCCGATATTTACCAGGAACTGCAGGGCTGAGATGTTGGTAGATGTCCCTTTACTCTATGCAGACACAGAGTCTGTCATCTCTTGAACAGGTTACAATGTTGTTCAAGCAATCTTTTAACAAGTGTCTTGCTTAGCCATGGAATAAAAGAGAATGACTTTGTTTTACACCAGAATGAGGTGACAAAGAATGTGAGAGAGAATGTGGCTGATGTTCAGATCCTCAAGTGCCAACAAGTGCAGCATCATCTTCCCTCCGCTGTCTTAAATGCCCAACCTTCAGAGTAAAAGTCAATTCAAGTAAATATGATTGGAAACCTGAGGGTCATTTAATGATAAATCCTAATAATCAGCCATTGTGAGGTGAGGCATATGTTGGTCTGTTTCTGCAAATGAATAGCTCATGTTCATTCCAGTTTCTCTTCCTGTAGAAACATTCTCTTAAGCACCTGAGTATACTGAAAAAATACTGTGAATAACTTTATAAACCTTAGTTTTTTAATGAATGCATTAAAGATAAATACATTATTTATGAATATATTGATATATAATTTACTTTTTAGTTATTCTAATCAAAGCATTCCTTTGCCATGGCCTTCATCCATTTCGTAGCCAGTTCCAGTTGAAATGGGCATTTTGAAAATTTCCAACCTACAAGTTTTCTCAATGGCGAACTGGTGAACCACAGCGCATAGAGAAGTAACTGTAAAAATATGACAAACAGCAGATAGCGCTAACAAAAACTTAGAATAAAATTTGTGAAAGCTTAATCCTCTGGAATACTGTATGGATGACACTGTCTCAAGGCTTTGTGGACTTAGTCCCTGGCTAAAATTGTTTACGACGAATCATTTGTTACTGACTTTAAGTCTGACAGCATGTGGAGAGAAAATGGTAAGGGAGGTTCGCAGTGAACGAGAAGTATGAATGTATCGGCGTTCAGTTCATTCTTGCACAAACTGCATTCATGTTCAAACTCTGTATATGTATATAAATGTATCATTTTGTACATAGAGAAACTTATATTCAATACTTGTACTGTTTGCAGTTATAAACATACTCATTTCTGACAGCGCTGAGAGGGGTATAGTAGTAATTGTGGTTCTAAACCAAACACAGCACTTTTTTCAGTCTTCAAGGTCTGTCTTCATTTATTTCATCATGTTCATCCTCCAGCTGTTTGTGCACCTCATAAGGAAGTTGGTAGTTCATACCAGTGTTTCAACTATTGTTTTTCGTGCAGTGGTGACTGGAGGTTCTTAAATGTTTGGTTAGGTATCTTATCTATCCTTTCTTTTTCTTTTTTAAATGGAAAAGGTTTGACAAATACTGAGTTGAAACTGTTTTGGTAAATTACGTTAAGAGATTCTGATTAAATTCTACCATATTCACCTTTTTTAAATGCCACATTTTTCTAGTAATGGTGGACTTTTTCATGCTGGGGTGGTTCATCACTGCTGAAAGATAACAGAGAAACATTGGTCCCTATAAGTAGACAATCAGAGCCACTGAGTGCCTCTACCTCTGACATGTCCCCAGAGGTGCAGTATAGTACCACTGAATGTACTAACACCGCCTCACTAGTGATGGCTTAGCTGGGCTCCTGTCAAACCTTAATGGGTGGGAGCCCTCAATCATCTGCTATATTTGGCCAATTGCTCATTTTGTCTGTTACTCATAAAATAATATTTGCTCATTAGCCACTGGCATTCCCCTCAACCACTCATCTGGTCCATTGTCACACTGTATCTACATGGCGTACCAAAGTTACTGTAATACTGTGGCCCATGGAACTGAGGCCAGCAACAAACATCTCCAAACTTGACAGCACTTATCTTTGGACGATCACTGCAGCACAGGACCATGGGAAGCCTGTATGTATCAGACCCCTGACTGAAATGTGAACCTTTCAAAAGGACTTAAATAAAGGAGAGGCATCATCTCTCACTTTATAAAGAGAGTGGATCTTCTTCCCCCTTTGCACGACCAAAAGACAATACTTGCAGAAAAAGTGGCATTTTGAAAAGATGATATTTATACAAAGGTTGTATAAGAGGTAAGAACAAAACTAAAGTTGAAGCCACAGAAGAAAAAAAGGGAAGACATTTCCTTTCGAGTTACTGCAGTAGCTCTGCCCCACACACCTGTTATGGTAACTCATTAAACCTGAGCTTAAAAGCCTAGCTACATGACTCATTTGCCTTGATAATCTAATATATGTGTTACAAAGGAACACTATATTAAAACATGTTTTGCTAGTAATTTATGGCAGCAACTTCATAACTCATAACTTGAGGTTTTGAGGTTTTAGTACAACGAATAATAGGTAAGAAATAAGTTCAAATGTATTGTTGCCATTCTACACTATTTGCAATACAGAACATTAATTTTCAAAACTTATAACCTATTTATTGTTGTTATAAACCCAAACAAACCCAATTTTGAGTTTTTCATCACAGACCAGCCAAAGGCTGGGTTAGCATAAATCATAAATGATTTCAGCGAAAGGCATATGACTGTGACAACATTTAGCCTATAACCATTTTATTATACAATATATATATATATATATATACATATACAGTATATATGAAAAAAAAACTTTGGAAAGGCTTGTATTCATATTTTTGCTTTTTGAATGAGTAAGAGGGGATTGCAGTGGCATTCCTTACTTACATCTTTTCCCATTGTTTGGGGAATGCAAACTAATTTAAAGGTGCTGAAGACTGGCCAATCGTGATGTCTCCAATCTACATTCATTCATTCTATGCAAGTTGTTTGTTCTTTGTTGTATTTTTACATCATCTAAATATTTGCAGTTCTAGATATTAGGTGTTTATGTTTAGCTTTCATGCAAGTCATCAATGCCACAAACAGAATGATGTTTTCAGAAAATAGTGGTGGCTCTTTTTCTTTTTTTTAATTTTAAAAAGATTTATTTTATTGAGTTGTTTTTGCATGAGCCACGGGCCACACTAAAGGTTGTTTTAGTGTTTCCTGGCAGGCAGACAGTTGATTCATTCACATTTCTCCCATTTTAGCTTATATGTATACTAGAATCAAAGAGTTTGTTGGTGAGATTCTTGAAATTCCTGCTTAGTGGTAGCATCCGTGTGCTTTGTGACATCATGAACAAAAGAAACAAACAATCGTAAGTGCATCACGCATTGTCAATTTATTTACGGACTACGGCAAAATTAGAAAACAAAGCCTGTGACAATATAATTGGAAATGCTGTACAAATGCTTAACATTCTTCTAAATTTATATCCAATTGAACTGCAAACTGGTCATTGACTGATCCCAAGGAACTCACCCATGCTATAAATAAGTTTAATCAAGTGTGTCATTATCATTTCACCATTTAGCCCAAAGAAATGACCCTTCCCTTAAAACAAGTTGAAATGTAGCAAAAATACAGACACTGATCTAAGTATTATTTTAAAAAAATATATACATGAAAGATGTACATTTAACAAAGACTAAAGAGGAAAAAGACAAAGGGTATTTACAATTATTTTTTAACCATGCAACCATATTTTGTGTAATGAAATATATAATTATTTGTAAGAAATGTCTATCTTCTATGTTACAATGTGTAGTCAATTACCCCATGAGTTTTTGTTTACATTTTGTTGTCATCCAGAGATCTGATGCAACATCTGTGCCAACTCTGTGACGTTCAGCTATTAGGACAAAGGTTTTTGGATGGAATCTGATCTCACCTGAACCTGTAACACTGCTTGAATATAAATCCTTTTCTACCCCTATGTTCTCTTCCTGCATTTATTCAAGGTTTCGTGGAGAAAACATACTGCTCTGTTTTGCATCGATCATGTTGCAATTTTCAGGGATCTCAGACTGCATTGTTTAGTGAATCAGACTTTGTCAAAGTTATTAAGCACCTTTTGAACACCATAGTTTAGCCTGCATTTGTTAGCTTATGCTTATTTTGTTCAAAGAATGAAACCAGTATGTGATACTTTTGTTTTCTTTTTGTTTTGCTTATTGTGGTGTTTCTTGTGAATTTTCATTTTCAACTTTTATTGGCCTTATGTATTTTTCATAAATTGATATAAAACAATGGATTAAAATGTTTATCATGTTTATGTTTATGGTAATTTAAATGGAAAAATGGGGGTCATAGCTTTACAATGGCATCCAAAGATGAAACTAACTTAAAGCATAAGTAGTATATTTTGTGTCCATAGTTAGTATCTGCACACTTAAACACACCGCAAATACACAGCATGGGCCAGACACAGTGTCTTTTACTTTGACCCTCTCAATTTGCATTGCTTTTCTACTAAGCTATCACCTTTTTCTTTTTGTTTGTTCGTTTTATTTTCCTGTTTTCCCCCATTTTAGGCGCCCGTAGCTTAGCTGGGGGGCGTAGAGAGTACGGTAGGTCTGGTAGGGAACCGCTTTATTATATCTTTTTTTATATGTTGTTAATACAGTTTTTCATACATTTTGTCTGACTCATTAACATTTTCCACTAAAATAAGATATATCATAAGTTGAAAATGCTGTCATACTCACAAAGTATGTATAATACATTTAAATGTTTTTCATCTGTTTCCACATTGAATCCAGTGGAATTTACGAGATTACGTACCAGTACTGGATAATGAATTCATCAAACCAAAAGAACTGAACTAAGAAATCAGTTGACTACTGTCCCACATGTTGGCCTTGTGTTAGCACACTGGCATTTCTTATACAGTATCTACTGCATTTGAACAGAGTGAGACATAAGAATATCCGTTCCATTGAAAATCTCTTCTGCACAACTGGAACGTACTTAAACTGAGATGTGCATGAAGCCTTTTACAAAGTCCATAAAATTATTTATTTGGTTTGTTTTTATTTGTTATGATTTAATATTACTGTTCTGTTCAAATTCATTGGTATTGGTAGTGATTCACCCTCTTGCTTTAACCATTGTATACATTTTCTTTAAGTGAACAGAGGGGAATAAAATCAGCACACATTAGTGTGTCCTTATTTCAAATATCCTGGCATGCAGCAAGGCAGGTTATGACCAACATAACAGCTTTGTTCTACAAACCAGCACAAATCAATGCCGCTTTCAGATGATATCATCAATCGTAGACAAGCCACAGTTGTTGAAGACCTTTTCAGATCTGTATTCATCTCAGTTGTTTTCAGTAGTTGTGATTTTGACATTGATGACATTTTTAATTCAGCTCATTCCTCTAACATAAGCCTTGAGCTAAGGACAAATACCATCAGTCCTCAGACTTAATTTTGAAGGTGGTGGGTAATGGATTTAATATTCAAAATTATTACATGGTTGCAGATTGCACATTCTGGCTTACTGAAGTAATTGAAAAGCATTATTTATTATTATGCTGTCTACACAAAATTGTACATAATACTGCACATAAAGTATAGTATTATACTTGTAGTCAGATATGCTGGGTAGGTACAGTATCATATATGGCAGTTGTTATTGGTTCCATGAGGGGTTTTATAAAGCTTATCTTAAACTAATAATTGTCTCACAAACTACCATACCTTCATTGTGTGGGCTAACAACTTATTTAAAAGGTCTGTTCACAATGAAATGTTCTGATTTGTTGACAAAGTTTATATTCAGCTGCCATTGCTGTACTGTAGCAAACCCATTTTAATGACCCCACTAGCAGCAGAACTCATAAATGGTGATATCCGATGGTCTGTCAGTTGTTTTTTTCTGTCCAACACTTTGGTTCAAAGAACATACTGATTCAGATCCTCAAAGGATGAATACATTGTTGGTAAACCCATGGCCATCAGGCCAAATGGGCAAATATGCTTGAAATTTCCTGAGCACATGCACACTTACCAGTTGAATGAACTGTTTACATATTACAGGGTGTTATACTAGTACCACTCTTAGAACAAAAAGTCATCTTTGCAAACACAAAATATTCCAGTTTAGCGTAAAATTTGGTCACCATATTCAGTTCTTCAAGAGGGCAAATCTTTGTTAAATTTAAACAGCTCTTCAGTTTTTCCTCTAGTGCCACATTCATGACAAACTTATCTTGTCAACCTAACGATTATGATGGCTCTAACAATAGCAATATGGTCTATAGGTGCTTTGTTTTGTCCAACACTTGTGATTCTAGGGTAAAATGGGGCTTTTTGTTTAGATTACTTCAACGTTTTCCTTTTTTTTTTTTTATTTTATCTGTGAGGGCTGGAAAATGTTAATTTTTTTGGTGGATTTATTTGGGTCGCTATCCATTACCTCGCTACCGGGGCAAAGGCAAAGAAAAGAGAGTCTGTTTTTCGGACCATTGATTTGTATTGGTTTGTTGTGACCTATCATACATAAAAGGTTAATCCACCTTGCATCCATGGGGGCATCACCACTGTATGTATATATGTATGTGGCTCTGAACAACATGCTTGTTTTATTGTACGGCTCTTGAAAAAAAGGGCTACACAAACTTACTTTTAAATTTTGTAAATCCAGCAGATTCAGCTGGAATTACTGACCTATACACACCCCCAAGTCCTGCTAGTTGTCCTATGTCAATTCATCCATCCATCCATTCATCAGCTTATGGATCCATCCACTCATCCAACATTGCTAACCACCAGTGCCATATTCGAGCTCAATCCTAGGGCTGAGGAAATATCTCCACAGTGGTTGGGTCAGGTAAAGTAACATTCATAAAAACAATAAATTCCCCGTAGTCAATGCTCTTTCTTGCAAAGCACAGTGTTCTTTTAGCTGAACACAGTGATTTTTTTGCCTTTGGCAATATGCGTCTTTTTATGCACACCAAAGAAAAGCCATTCAGGTGAGCAGAAAAAAACTTTCAAAAGAAAAGACACATTTAGATTATTTCAGTGCACAAGTAAGACTTCACTTGCATTTAATCCTGGAGTCTATCACTGAAAAGATACTTTTATGAATGCAAAGTGACATCTACAGTCATTATCAAATGTACTTTTTCAGTTATTTTTAAGGATGCTGTGATGTGTCTTGCCATAAACACGCGCACATTGGCTTCATGAAAACAATTAGAGTAGGCCACAATGCAATTATGTAAAGTAGATGCAATGCTTTCAACTGTACTGGCAGCGGGTAGAACTAATTGTTAAAGAGAGAACTCATTATTATATTGCGACTAGATAAAGTTATTGGCGTGAATATTAGGCTTTAGACTACAATGATAAATCAGAAAAAAAGAAAAAACAAATCTGTACCCCTGCTTACTTTGAGGGAAGCTAGATAGTCAAACAAAACATAGTGTTACATTAAAACCCAAGAGACTTCACATTCACTTTGTTACATCTTCAGCCCCCATGCTCATGTACGCAGCTCATCAGTCATTGCACGTCATTAAGCCACCACCTGAGTAAGAACAGCATCTCCCCAGCCTCTTTGCCAGTCTGAGTCCACAACTATGGCAAGAACAGCCTCTGGCACAAATGGAGGGATTCGGACGGGGAGGAGACGCAGTCAGAACTTTTGCAACGAGTTTTCTGAAATTTAAGTCTTGACCACAAAGGAGCAAAAGGTTTGAGAGGGGCCTTGTTGAAAAAGCGCGAGAGAAGGTCTGTTTCATATTCTCTGCACCAAAACTATTATGAAATGATATTAAGTCACACTTTACATCAAGTCCATGTAATGCAATAGTTTTTTTTGTAACTACATTATCAATCTGGAATCACAGCTGCACATATTGTGTTCAAATGACAAAGTGTGAACACATAATAAGTCATTATAATTTAATTTCCAGTTATTAGCTATGATTATAATTATATTTTAGGTGCAGCTGTGTATTGGTACTTTATGTAAAGTATGGCTTAAGCTCATTCAAGCAAATATAAAGGGAATTAAATGCAGTAAAACTGGCTATAAGTACAAGTGGGGTGGTCATACCCATTCAGTATCAGATTTGAAAAATGGGAATGTGAAAAGTGAAACTCCACATGCTGCAGTACAGCATGCATCACTTTTCAATACACTATTTTGATGCATCACCAGAGGCAGTCCAGAAGTTAAAAAAAAAAAAAAAAAAAGATAGAGAAAAAAACTGATAGACTGTCTTGCTTTTCAGTTTAAAAAACATCTTCTTTGTCTGGGTCTCTCAGCACATTTTGTCTGATTTTCTTTGTTTCCCTACTGTCTAAACCTCATTTATGTTAGAGCTACAAAAATGCCATTTGACAGAGACTGAAATTTTCTAATTCAAGCTCATGTTTGTGGCATTTTCCGTCAGTTGTGGAGTGGCTAATTCAGTAGTTGATTATAATTATTGTCTGTGTCTATTCTTCTGAGTCTTTATCTGTACATGACATTTTTTTGGCCCTATACTCCAAAAATGCAATGTTCTGTGCCTCTCTCAGGAGACACACTGTACTGCTAATAAACCAAGTTTAATACTTGAATATTGAATATTTCTTTACATGATATCCAAACACTGGAAAAAATAATAATTTCACTATTTAATGCCGTTAATTGGAAAGATTTAAATTATATGTATTAAATCCTTATTTTTAAAATCTGACTTGATTTTCATATTTCTGTTTAAATGATGTCTGCTCTGTGTCTTATATGTATAATAAGATAAGGTGTATTTGTGTTTTCACATTTAGATGATGCATGTTATCTCATGCCTGATAAGGATTGATCTTTACATAATGATACACGGTCAACATATTATGGCAATGCAGATGGGCAAAATTCCCAACAACCTTGGCAAAAAATGATTCATCAAAGGCTTTAGACTTTATATTTGGTTTAACAATATAGCTGATTTCCATTTTGTGCTCCAATTTGGTCCATTTTGGATCATCCTTTGCCACCTAGTTAATTCCATTGTGATTCCATTGTGGGTTTTATGATGCCATTATATGTGTTTGGACAATATTGGCAGTGGCAACTGAAGCAAAAGGGAACAAGTACAAAATCTAGACAAATACGTATTCAATTGTCCTTGTCAATTAGTTTTGTAATTTGACACTTAAACAAGGTTGAGGCACCTCCTGGAGAATTGTTGCCAATGAGCATTGCCAATGAAGTTGCAAGTTTTGTCAGTGATTAGAATATCTGCACTTTGAGACAGAAACACAGCAAATGCGGGATAGTAAGTTTCACTCAGATATTAGCATTTCCCCCCTTTTTCTTTACGCAGTGACGGAGTGTTACAGTTTGTTACACTAATGCAATGCACTTTCTCTAAGTGCATTCAACATCAAGGGAAAAACATTGATGTGACCCATTTCTAAAACTGTAAACTGAGCACATCTGTGTTTCTCTCTCTCCTGCCTGTTACTAACTGACTTAACCACTGAATAGGCAAAGACAAAACCTCCTATAAATATTTTTCAGTGAGCTTTAGACCCCCTTGGAGTTAGCTGTGGTAGGTATAGAAAGATAATTCACTCTAGGTGTGCATTAGTGTGTTCGATACCTGCATCTGTCCTCTCTAACTGGTGTTGCTTGCTCCTTGCAGGGATTCAGTTTCGTCTCCCTACTTCCTGCAGCGTGGACCGCGCTCAGCCACCTCCAGGTACCAGTCCGTCTCCATCTCTTCTCTTTTCCTCCATACTAGCACTTATCTTTGCAAACTACTTTCAGTTGCAGTCATACATTCATGGGTGGAGGAGGGAGTCCGGCTAGAAAGAGAGACAGACAGAAATAAATAAATAGAGGACAGAAAGAAAGTGAATCTCTTCCTGATTATAACTGGGTTGAAGTTACATATATAGCTTAAGTAGGCTAACATGCAAAGGCTGTTAACATAAATTGCTCCTGTTTTTTTCGTTTTTTTGTCTCATTTTACTATTTATATTGTCTTCTTCAAAATATTAAGTAAAAGAGCTGGTCCAAAAACCTTCTGTAAGTTGTGAAAATCAAACACTCACCCTCTGTTGGTTGGCTTTAACGGTGACTCTGAAAAGCTCGTGGATAACGGCAGTTGTAGCAGCCTTCCTGTTCTTCGTTGAATCCATGCGCTGTTAATGTACATAAGAAATTAACACCAATGCTAGGTTAGCTAGCCAAACCTTCAAAAAAGCTATCGAAACCTTAAATAAACTTTAAAACCATATCGGCAACAATGCTCCGTCCTTTCCTTCCTACAAGCTGGGTGTAAACACTGATATTATCTCCATTATTACAAAATAAGCTAACGTTAAAAACATGAGTCAAACGTTAATAAGATGTTGTGTTGTTGTCTGCTGCCGTTGACTCGACGCTCGAGCTTGACGTTGGTCGCGATCGCGAGACGGTACGTAAAGAAACGTCAGAGACCGCCGGAAGCTGTGTGTATATACGCTGCGTTTCCACTACCTATGTTTACAGGACGAGGCATTGGGAAGTCCATTCACTCCTATGGGAATATCCGTGAAATCCGATGTACCTGCGAAACACCTCTCCTCTTTAATATTTCGGTCCGGAAATTGCCGCGAGTAGGTTAAAAAATTGAACTTCTGCGGTGGATATGACAGTGTGCTAGGTGTTAGCTAGCTAGCTAACAGGGTGCTAACTAGCTAACAAGCTATTTCCTTCAGTTCAGTCGCCCGTGTTAATTGTGAAGTGAGTTTGTATGATTAAAAGGGACTCGTTTATCTAGTTTTAAAACATTTTAAATTTGAGTAATGTTACTCTGTTAAAATATGGTTATACATTATATACTGTCAGATTGTAATTATGACTCCTTCAGCCATTCATACGTCTTTTTGATTAAATATTTCACAAAACACGCCATGTACCTGGCAAGTTCTGTTTTTGTCCCGGTAATGTTCCAAGTGTATATTCTAAACTACTAATTATTCTTCCCCATTGCTACAGGTACTTTCTATGGGGTTTCTATCCATCCATAAGGAAATGCACTTCCTTGGGTTGGACACTAGAGGCATCATCCATACATTTACAGATCTACGGGCACCAGTCACATACATAAGTGGAAGCGAGGCGTTAATGCTAATTTATACTACTGCGTTGAATCGACGCGGTAGCTACAGCGTAGGCTTCATGTCGACGTAGAGCCTACGCCGTAACCTATGCCTTACCTCGCTGTACGTCGTCGGTGTAATACCGTGCTGACAGTCAGAGAACAACGCCTCATTTTCGCTTACGTATGTGACTGGTGGCCGAAGATCCATAAATATACAGACTAACATTATGCGAACAGTTTACAAATCAGAATCCTCCTCAAATGAGCAAGTTTACTTCAGATTGAGCGACTCCGTAAGTAAGTGATGTAAGTAAGCTAGCTAATATTCAGAAAATAGTGATAAGCCTTTGCTGGAATATTCATTCAGGAACGGAGTTAGTAGCAGCGCCAAAATGATAACCGTATAAACGAAACAGCCAGCAGGATGGTGTCATGGGTAGCATTTGTGTGGTGTTTCGACATTGTGTTATGCATGCGATCCACCGTGGGAGATTTAAAAAGTAGCTGATAGCAGTAAGCAGCTAACAGAAAGAAGAAGTACAGCGGCTGAAAATGTCTGCATGTTGGGAAAACAATGAGGTCCAGGAGCTCCTTACCCTTTAAGCAACGAGATCAGCCGCCATATAACAGAGAAGGTAAATGATTGTTATTGCCTTGTAATTGAAATCGTCACTGTTTAAAGCACTGCCAGTGCGTGTTACATGTCACAATAGAGACCGACGTTGTGTTACATGTCTTTTGCTTCCGCGATACTGGCATGCTGACTTAAATCACCCACTAGAGCGGCATGATACTGCCGTCATCTGTGTAAAAATGCAAAGGCAGGATGGAGGAGGGACTTCGTAGTGGCATTATAGCGCATCTCTGTGTAAAAAAGTCACCGTGATCTCCACTACTCACCAGTGAAGTCTGGCCCCTTCCCCTACTTTCTAAACTTGTTAATAATGAAATAAAGGATTTTATTGTTGTTCATCGATAAATTTGACAAGATTTTTTTCAGTAATTGATTCAAATCATTTTATTGTATAGAATGCCAGGAAATTGTTATAAATAGCCAATCACAAGTTCCCAGAGCCCAAGGTGACATTTTCAAATGTCTTGTTTTTTTCCAACCAGCAGTCCAAAACAGAATAATAGCCTACACACAAGAGTTTTAGACCATAGTATTTGATATGCAGCTTTAATGATTAATAGATAGGTTTCCTGTCAAACCATCAATGGTTGAATTACTTTAGCCTAAGGGTTTATGCAGTAGCCTGCTGCTCCCCAAATGCTCTGAAAGCCTTGTGTCATGCACACTGTTGAACCACTGTGAGAGCTGATGAAGTTAGAAATGGCCACAGAAAGTAACTAGATTGAATAGTCAGCGAGGACAGGGAGAAGATTGCATGAGGATAATTTGTTGGTAGGTTCCTTAATTTCTGTTGTGAAGCAGATCCATGTCCTTGCCTCTGAGCTGCAGAGGAGTGATAATGTGTCAAAATGCCTGTTTTGAAGGCAGAAACTACCAGGGTCCTCACTGTTTACTTGTAATACTACCGAAACATTTAAGAAGAGCAGAAACACAATTTTTTAGCATGACATTCAGGTCCATTTAGTCTTGGCTGCACCTCCAGTGTGTGGGTCTGTTTACTGAACTGCCCGGTGCAGCAGTGCTAAGCCAAACAATCAAACTCAAACACTGCCAGGCACAACTGCCTACACAAAGGACAGTATGCTTCCCTGAACTATATTAGCCAAACTTTCAACTGAAGCTGTAGTATATTAAAGAAAACCCTGCTGTACATTAGCCCTGTGAATTTACTATGTTGATTTAAACACTTTCCCTGAACCTGCCTTTTCAACATCTTCTCAGTTGGTGATTCATTGTGTTCAAGGGTTCCTATTGAATGCTGAACATTTTAAAGCATTTGCTATTACTGTGGGCCTTACATGTAGGTGAAGAGGGGCAGGTCCTAGGCCTGCATGGCTGCATCGATTATTGATTCTATACTGTCAGTGCCAGTTGCAGATTTTCTTCCTCTTTACATTGAATTCCTTGAATGATTTTTTAAAAAAAAATGTTAGTTCAAAATATTGAATCTAGACAGTGACCTTGAACTTTGATTCCAAGGAAATGATGCTGATTATCACAATGTTTTAAGGTAAAAAAAAAAAGTAATTTTACAATAATTGCCTTGACCCAAATATGTAAACCCCATACCCACTACTTTTTGTTCCAATAGTGTTAAAGTGATTACCCCCAGTTCACCCCCCAGATCAAAAATACATATTCTTCCTCTTACCTGTAGTGCTAGTCTAGATTGTTTTGGTGTGAGTTGCTGAGTGTTGGAGATATCGAGATATCGACTGTAGAGTTGTCTGCCTTCTCTCAGATATAATGGAACTAGATGGCACTCAGATTGTGGTGCTCAAAGTAGCAAAGCATACATTTGAAAAACTGCAAGGTCTCTTTCCAGTAATCATGACCCAGAATCATGACCTCTATCACTGCACAGAAGGAAGCGGCTATCTACTCATAGACAAGAGATGTAAACTTCATTGCGGCCCCCTCAACTGAGCTGCTATGATAGCTAGCTCAGTGAAAGTCTTGAAATCTCTTTTTCCTTTAGGGGCCGTTCACATGTCGTGTCTTAAACTGCAGGGAAAAGGCGAGTTCAGGCGCTTTAGTGCCTTTTTTGTGCCAGCTTTCAAGAGTGCAATGGCAGGTTGTGTCTGGTCCCTAATCAACCTCAACAAGTTTAGAGCTGATCTTCTTCCATTCACTGTTTATAAGTGTGTAGGCCTATCATCCGTGGGACAGATGTAAAGCTTTGGCAGCCCTGCACTAACATGATCAACTTTTCCATATTTATCACAGACTGATATTTTCGGAAGAAGGGAAAGATATCTGTCGGCTGTGATTGGTTGTTCCTCATTACATGACATGCAGTGCGCGCTGCTGCATTCCAAAAGTTGAACTCAGTTGATCTCAAAGCGCATCAATCGCACCCTGAAAAATGGGCACTTGGGAACGCGTTCGGCATTGCTTCGGCATTTGAGCACACCTGCTGTGCATCTACATAGAAAACAATTAATATAAAGGCACAAAAATCCCAGCATGTGTACGCCCTCTTAGTGGGACAGATTATGGATGACCAGCACAGTGATTTGGTTGGCGAGTGTAGTTTGATAGGAAGAAAATAGCTCCTGCGTGAAACTGCTCACAATAAGGTCTGTGGATTATCTTCAGTAACTGCTTGGGACATGATTTCTGTAAAGAGACATTGCTGTTGACTTTTTCAAACATATTTTTATTATGTATATAGGTATATTTTACTTATGTATATTTTAGTGAAGGCAGACATCTCTATGGCCAATATCTCCGACACTCAGCAACTCACATCAAAACGATCTAGACTGATGAATAACACTAAAAGTAACTGATAAAATATCTGTTTTTGATTTTGGGGTGACCTGTCCCTTTAATACACATAGAAATAGAGTATAAAGTACAATATTTCTCTCTGAAATCTAGTAAAGTGCATAGTGCAAAAATAAAGAGGGAAAAAATGGTAGAACTCAAGTACGAGCACTGTGCCTGAAACTGTACTTCAGTGTGGTACTTGAGTAAACATTCAACAATCACTCATATCAACTTCAGTAAACTTTGTAGTGTACACTTTATGTTCAGTTGATTATTCAAGCACTTCTAGCAGCTTCAGTGTGAAGTCAGGGATTTAAAATCTTTAAAGGAGGTAAACTAAATATAATGATGTTAAAACACAACTGACACAGATATGTGGACACTAAAAAATCACTCTACTAGTGAACTAGTGAATCTTAATCCATTGGCATAATCCAGTAATACCCATGTAGCTCCTTAAGTGGACTATGTGCAATCTATAGGGGGACACCTGGTGTTCAATTAATGTTATTGCAACACATGCTGATTTTTCTCTTTTTCTGATTGAGTGGGGCAATTCTCTCAGAAGCCTATTATGTGGTGATATGACAACCCGGGAGGAGTCAGCAAATTAAATGTCTTCACTAAACAACATTAACCCAAGCAAATAATTGTGTAATTATGCCCAGCACATAAATGTAGGCGTATAAGGCAACAAATGTGTTTGCAAATGTCAATCCATTTAGGCAAGCATAAAGTATATGAATGAACATCAGATTAAAAAAAGTGTAGTGCTGACTCAACTTTATGATAGGTTAATTTGAAGTATTTATCATTACACTACTGAGGGAATACAGTCACATTCATTACTTCTGCAAAAGAGGTTATGTGACTGGAGTTGTTTGTCTGTTTGTT